TGTTATATATGTTAAAACGGATTTTTGAAGATCTCAAATATTGATTGAGAATATATTAAAAAATAAATAAGAACTTTGTTTTTATTAGTTATAAAGAATGAAACTCATTGAAAGTTTCTTTTTTGGTCGATATTCTCTTTGTCATAATCAATTAGGAAATTTATTGAGTAGATTTTCTAAGATTTTAATCCATAAAACAAATCGAAGAAAATCAACTTGACAAAAACTTATTAATTAGAATGATATTTTAAAATTCTTTTCTTGAATTTATTTGTTGATCGAAATAAAAATATAATAATAACTCGTAGCTTAACAAAAAGAGAGAAAAATAATCATATAATTCTGATCGGATAGTTACGAGAAATACTTTTAAGTCAACTGTATTTCAAATATTTAGCTAGTTTATCGACACACATCAGTTAATAAAAACTATTGATAACATATTTACATATGGACGACGAATAAAAAAAAATATTTTCAAGTTTTTTGTTTTTCGAATTCAATTTCTTCAATATATTTTCTTTTCGATTTATTTAAGATAATGTTTATATTATTCTATTGAAAAAAAAAACTCTTTTCAATGAATTTCTTATAATGTTTGTTTTTTTTTATTCTCATCTATGAATGGTAAAATATGCTTGTCGATTTCGGCTGTTCAATAACTATAATCCGAAGTAAAAAAAAAAAATGAATCGAATTTAATATTAACAAACATTCGAGTCTTTTTTTTCGCATTGAATTCATTTGTCGTTTAAAATAAAAAATTTGTTCATTTTTATTTTGAAATATTTATTTTAAAACAATTTGTTTGTTTTTCTGAATATTAAATAAAATCAATTTCGATGAAAAAATTTTTATTATATATTCAAACAATATTATCATTTAACAATATGAAATTCTTTTAAACGTTATTATTTTAAAAGAGTATAAATGATTAATATGCAAATCATATATGAACAACAAAAAAAAGTTCTTTTTATTCTACTATTGACTATTATTATGTTTATCGGTAATATAATATAATATATATATATGTCATTAATCGATCAAAAACAAAAGGCTCGTTTTTTTTTTCAGTAGAAAAAAACAGAACAAATATTCACAAGTGAAACGTTTAAAAATAAGCAGTGAAAAAAGATGATTATGAACGTTGATTGTAATGAATTTGTTCATAGTGATTTGAATAGTTTGAATCATATTGTGATGGTGATTTACTATCGAGTTTCGATGCACAATCATCCCTGCTTATTGCAACAGTACAAGTTGATGGTTATTCAATTAATTTAATTGTTGCTTTTATTTTAATTATTTGATTTTTTTAAAATATTTTCATCTCAAAAGAACCATGTGATTAAAATACCAATGAAAACGATTTCAAGAATTCCATAAATCGAACCAACAATAAGACCAACTAAATCTGGAGTTGATCGACAATCATCTCCATGACAAGATTCTAGAAAACAAAAAATATTTTTTCTAGATTTTGAAAACCAGTGTCAATATAGTTATCAAGGTGTATGTGGTTCTGCTTATTGGTCTTCTATTCATCCATACCCATATCTTCAAATACATTCAAAATACGAAAAAAGCAATAAAAATGGAACTGAAACTGATGACACACTCTTAGTACTTTGAAATATTGTTCAAAATAAATGTTTCTTGTATTAAATATGTAATATGAGAAGTTCAGTCTATCGTGTCGACAACCATTTTTAAGCACATAACTTTTTGTCGTATAAAATTCTACGGAATAATCAAAAATAGATATGTAAATCAAGAAATGAGGAATTAATTTTTGATAAAGGTACTATTTGCCATAGTTTATGATTTGTTTCAGCCACTAAATCTACAAATTTCAAGACTTCTGACCAGAAAAGATTTGAGAGAAAGATGACTGAAGAAAATGAAATCAGTGTACTTTGTACCTGATAATGAAATTTGTTATATGACTACTATACACCTTCGTATTTGAAATATCGAAAAGATCAGATTAATGATGAGATTTTTATTGAATAAAAGGATAAAAGTCGATCGAAACAATAACCATTTATTGATAGCAGCTTTTATCTCTTTTGGACATTGTGTGTGCTCAAACTGTTTAGACTTATTATTATCTATTGGCCTACTTTAATCATAAAAGGTATCAAATAGTATAAACGAAGATAGATTTTCAATAATGTTTTAGATAGTCGTTCTTGATTGAGAAAGCCAAAATTTTTAAAGAAATGTATATTTTAAAAAAAGGACGGGGGAAGGGGGCATAAGAAGCGAAATCGACCCATTAGGACCTTTCTGGATCAACCCTATTCAATCATATATCACTCGAAAGAATATGTGAAACTTAACATTTTGACACGATTTCCATCGAATTTTGATCAATCGGACCATGTCATGGTCAACTCAGTTTTAATGGAAGTTGATAAGGAAAAATAGTTGTGAAATTAAGTATCCGATAGCTTCTTGGTAGAGCTTTAGCCCTATATAAGAATTAATAAATCCTTGTTTGATTCAGTGAGAAACAACATCTGACATATTATTAGACACTGTTGACATTCTGGTCTATATTTATTACTGACTTTTATTTTTCAACAAATATTTTGTCCTATGAATTAAAAAAGGCCAAAATCTGGTATAGCTCATTTGATAGCCCTTTTTAAAAGCTACAAAATCGTATATTTTCTATACTCTAAAAACACATGGTCACTAGGAAAGGGTGTGGGTGTGGGTATGGGTGGATGGAGGTGGGTGTGGGTGTGTTATTCATTTGATATTGATACCCACACCTCCACCCACACACCCATACTCCCACCCCCACCCCACATCCACACCCACCCACACCCAATGACGACCATGAGGAAGAAACGCTGGTAGCTACAAGGTCGAGCTGGATCTAAATGAAGAATGAAGGAAGGAAAAGCACGGCTGTAGTCGTGAAATGGAAAGGTACGAATGATCATTTCCAATCTCTTTTACATGACTGCTTGGTTTTATACATTCTTTGACAATAATAAACGGTAAAAATCAAAAAACATCAGTTATCATGCGCGTGAACTATATTCCATATTCAATGTGCGAGACTCGTCGACGAGCGCTTCGTTGTTGCTCTTTGGTGATTCCACTACAGAGGGCATAGTTAGTGAACGTGCATTTTGTTTCATATTTCGACCCATGATCGAGTTGCGTAGATTGTCACACATCACCTTGCATATATTTTGGTTCAAACGGGTCGAATCGTGCTTCGCTTTAAACAATAACTCGAAAAATGCAATAAGCATAGCAAGCCCGAGTCCAATGATCAACATATAAAAGGCACCAGCCATTTGAGCTAGATTGAGTTGCACCTTGGTTTTTCTGTCTTCCGTGCTTGTCTTTGTACATTCTATTCGCTCATAGAACCACTTCTGTTTGAGTCGTCTGAGAAAGCCGGTTTCACTAAGTTCAAGTACAGCCATGTTAATTGCTTTACGCAAATCAGATTTGAGAGGTGTAGCAATGCCGTAGCTTATAGAATTAATGTTTTCATTGACGAGTATTGTGTCACATGGAAAACGTTCATTAGAGTATTCGCTAAATGTAGATTCCGCAAGAAAGGCAAACTTCCCTAGAAAATGTAAGAGCAAAGGCGTGATAAAAAATTTTAATGCCAGCGATTTTACCTCTCGACTCTCGCACTTTTTGAATTCCGGCTTGGTACGATGATACGAAAACGTCGCCTTTGTGCTTTTGCATGAAATCCCACATATTTCGGATTGTGTCAATTTTTGACTTATTGAAGAAGGCCATAGTTGAACTACCTTTCAATACGCCGTATCGAATTACAGTTTGTTTAGACAGATCTTCAATCGTGTCTATTGATGGTGCCATCTTTCCCGAAAAAGGATAAAATACGATCAAGGTGGCAATGTACGTTGAGAAGAGAATGAGACAAAAGAACCACCAAGCACTGGTAGCAACTCGACCTACGAAATAGCACAGACTATGTTAAATAGACATCGTTTAGCGTATGTCGGCTAAATGTTTTAGGAAAAAAAGGTCCTGTTGATGACTGATGTGTCCATTTTAATGGTGAAATGAATGTTATCAGAATTTTCAACTTTCGAATGGATATAATTAATAAATAATAGCTATGAATGATGATAGATATTTGAGAAAAAGTCTCAAAAAAATAACCTCTTCTTTGAGAAAATGTAGGAGTTAGAAGTCCATTTACATTTAAATGAGTCAGAGAACTGTCTTATTGAGGAATCTTTTCAATTAACTAGTTAGCTGACTGTCATCATAATGGTTAAATCCTATGAAATTAGCGTTTTCAAAAAGAGTTTACCTAATATTGACATTGACACATCACTTAAGTCTATTCGGATTTTCTTCATTTGTGTAAAATATTACTCTCTCTCTATGTTTACTGACTACTTCAAACTAATAGCTGATTTTTGATACTGTCAAAAGAAAAAAATACAAGTAATACACCATGGGCATCGCTTCTGAAACATGCTATCATAGTTTGCAAAATGCGAAGTTTAGATTTAGTGACACTTTCTCAACCTTCACGACGGCTAGCGACTCAAGAAAGTACCTTCTATTTCTCGCGAAACGTCCTGCAAAAGCCTGTCTCTATATCGGTACGAACAACCAACTTTAACGAACCGTAAAGTGCTGTCGAAATCTTAAACAAAAGTGGTACCCTTTCTTTGAAAGAGCGCTGTTAAACAGTGCCAAAAATGTTTGTAGACTTGTATTTTTCATCATCGACGGTCTTTTGCTTACATTGTCTAACAAACTAAACTCAGGTTTAGGTTCTCTAGCAAACATTACTTTTATTTAAGTATTTTGACAAAAAAAAATTTATTCTGTCTTTTGACAATCGCTTGAGATCCATAGAATATCACTAAATGTGTGCATAAAGAGCCACAATACGAATCTCCAATTCAGATTTCTCACCTAAGAGTACTGTTGACCAAATTCTATGAGAAATCTGACGAAATTTACAGAAATCAAAATCATGAAACATTTAAAGAATGAACATGAGTTTCAGGTTTTGATTTTTCACCATTGATAATCTTTAATCGATATTTATCGATCCTATCATAGAATTATTACGAATCGACAACAAATTTCGATTCTTTGCCTTAGATTACATCGAATAATGTTTGATTCAAAAACATCATTCATGTTGTCTTATATGTTCAGAACTGTCATGAAGTGTTCAAGGCTTGGTGTAAAACAAAGCAACCACTCTCTTCTAACTACCATAATATTGTTCATCTTTTAGAAACGGCCTAACGACAATAAGAACAGAAGCACATATATATTTATAGGTTATTATCAGATTTAGATGCCGCAAAAAAATTATATTGATAGCAATTTCAGTAGAGACGAATTTCGATTCGATCACTGTAATCAATTGTGACTAATTTTCCAAGAAGTGTCTCTATACCCATCTATCATCAGAACTCTCAGAAATCTATATAAGACTAAGCTATATAAGTCGTTTAGATTTATATACAAAAAATACACTTGAGCTGAAGTTTTAGGCTCGCTTTTGGTCTACCTGATATTGAACGAGAGACACCTCCATGTACGAATCCACCCAATGGGAAGCAAAGAGCGTTGTAAACCGAGAATGTGTTGCGTTGGATCATTTCATTTTCGTCTTGAGATGTTCGTTCATAGGTTGAAACTCGATCGATGAAGAACAAGATAATACTAACGAGAACATAGGAAACAATAACACAAATCCAAACTTCGCTGGACAGTGGAGACATGAAGAAGAACAATTTCTATTTTCAAAAATAATATCAAGATATCTTTCGTTGTAATTTGAAAAAACATAATGAGCAACAATACCAATTTCTGTTCATAAGACTTCAGCATTATGATCGAGATGCCAGAGTTCATGAATGGCTGAGTGAAGTCCACTACTTTCTCTCGTGCTGTATTGATAGTGAGCGGCGCTACCGCTAAATCAGCTTCACGATTTATCACCGCTCCCATCATACCGTTCCATACGCCCTTTTCGATTTGATTGCCGTATTTGGTTTCGATGAGAAATTTGTAGGGTATGTTCAGTCTTTCATGACATATAGCATAAGCTAAATCGGCACAATAGCCTGTCACCATCGAGGGATCGAGTATCGTTCCTCGAGTAATGTTCTGTTCCGACAGAGTACCATCGTGATTCTGTTTTAGCATCATAAATGGTGCTTCGAAAATGGTTGTGATTAACCGTGTTCGATTAACAAACAAGATTCCATGATCATCCAATGAATTGTCGGCGATCTAAATTAAAATACAGTTTTGTGCTAATCTGTACTGTGAAACAACTTAATGTCGCCGTCAATGTGATAGGAAATATCGGTATAATCGTTTCAGTATCAAATAGTTATTTGCAAATAGAAGATAAATGAGTGTTTCTTGAATAATTTTTAATAGAAGCAGTGTAAAGACTAGGATTTTCTCTATTAACATAAGGAAAATTCAGTCCTATAAATTTATTTAACAACTTGATTGATTAGTTATTACTCTGTCAGAAAGAATTTTGTTGAATATTTTTCAAATAATATTTCAGAACCATTTTCAATCTTAAGTTTAACCCAAAGATGATTCTATTTCATAGAAAGCATTGTTCTCTTTTGATGTACACAAGACGGTAACTATAATTTAGTTTTTTGATGAGCTCAAAGCTTTTTCTTGAGAGATCATATTTTGACAATATAGTCTCCGATGGACTTAGAATAGAACAGGATCGAAATGATCACCAACGCTGAATCGAATGGCAATATTTATGCTCCTCAACAAAACAAGTTAAAGTTAGTGGTCTTATATACACCGAAAGAGCACAGTGCTCTCTATGGAATATAATCATATTTGGACTAAACATCAAATTGAAAACAGATCTGAAGTGTTATTTGAAAAGTATTCAACAAAGTCCTCTTTGATGGTGAAATCTCTAATAAATTAAGTTTTTAAATATATTTCTAGATCTAGATTTTCCTTTATGAATAGAAAAAAAAACTTACAAGTCTTTACCTTACTTCTATCGATAATTATTTAAAAAAATACTCATCGCTCTTCTATTTTAAAATAAATAATAGTGCTTCTACATCTGCAGACAGCTACGTTTTATCTCTTTAAGAAAAATTAAACTGACAGCGTATTATAAATTAGATCTGCAGCCAAGATAATTTCAAGAGCGTAGAGTAGTCGAAACATTTTTCCAAAAAAGAGGTACTGTGAGAGCTCTTTTAATCTTCTTTAAAAAAAGGAACGATTCTTGTCATATAAAGCCATTTCGTTTTAGAACTGTGTCGCGCAGCGAAGATATTTTTAACACTTTTTGGCTACAACTTCCACTTTCATTTCATACAGGTGTAATTCTTTGATAAATATTACATTGATATTATTGACTGATAAAAAAGATATGGAATCACAATCATAATGTTAGTTCTACGATAAGATCGAACACTTTCACTAATATAAAAACGATGTGATCTCATGTCAAGTATATATTTTTATATTCACCACGTGCTGATAATGTTCCACTAACTCAAATAAATAATTGACTTGCTTCCCATCCTATATTTTAGTCAACTAATTGTCGATAATATCAAAGTGATATTGAAGTCTGAAGATAATTGTAAAGATCTCGTCAAAACTGGTAAGATTCTTTAAGGAATCTGGATATGCTTCTTCTAACAGATCTATCGTACTTACCCCATTTATCGGTAATACATGTAGATTTACTACCAAGACAAAGCCAAAGATGATGACGAACGTAGCAAGAGCCATAGTTTCTACCAAACAAACCTATATGAAATAGATTTCACGCACATCTACATTATTTCTATGTTTATGCTAATCTTGTTCGATTTCGAGCAAAACTAAATTCGAGTATCACACTGTGATTATCTAGATTAGAACTAGAGATATTATTTTATCTTTACTTTATAACATAAAAATAAAAGAAAATCTTTATGTCTTTAGTTAATAGAGATAAAATAAATGTTAACGAAAAGTTCCTTTTATAGAAAAAAAATGTTTTTTTTTTCAGCGTATAGCTCACTAGGAATTATAATATGTCATTGATAAAAAAAACGATTTTGGAGAGAAGATTCTTACCATAAATATTTTTATGCTTCATCCTCATTTGATAGAAAAGAACTGATCAATATTTCTTGTTGTTGTATCAAATATTTATCTATTTACTGATTATTGACAAAATCTATCTTTATTATTTATTTTATAAATAGAAACATTTTTGTTATCTTCATTCTCTTTTATGAAGTAATATAAAAATAAAGTAACACTCCTAATCCGAGCTGAACGATTTGTCTTCTATGAGAGACTTCTTTGTGTAGCTCGTCTCTATGCTCCTTCTAACACGAATAAATATATAAAAACATAAAGAAAACAGCAAAAGGCAAAGAAATCGATAAAAACAGACAAAAAGGGTCAAAGCGATGCGAGAACATGTAAATAACATGTCCGTAACAATCTTCCTTACGGATATAGTTATCAGATCTCTAATACAATAGAAAGAAAAATTACTTAGTAAGGACAATATGAGGAAAACGTTTAGTCTCGAGGAGACAGAAAAATCTCAATGAATAAAAGATTCGAGAATGAGGAAAGAAATTGGTAGAAGAAAATGTAGTTTTGCTGAGTAACGATAATGTACGATCAAAATTTCTGTGGTATTGAATTGAGTTGTAGATCATTTGTACTGTTAAAGAGAAGTTTAACATCCAGTCTTTCCTTTGTTCATCTTCTTATTATCGCCCCTTTGTCTCTTTTCTTGTCTTAGGTATTGAATATAAGCTCTCTCTATCTGAAATAAGATATACATCTGTAATCCATCTTACTACAATCATCTAGGTTATGTTTTTTTCCTTTTTCTCTCTATCCTCGCGTGTGTGAGAATATCAATAATTACCAGTCCGTTTACTCTTACTTTGCATGTTTATGCCTGCGCTACTTTTGACTGCTCTCAAATACGCGTCTTGTGTATCAGTAGCAAATGTTTTTTTCTGAATACAAAGAAGAGAAAAATATCGTTGACAACATTGTAACAAAAAAAGAAGGATGAAATAGCTCTACCGTTCTATACGGCATTGACGTTGATCGAACTGTTTTCTTCTACATCGTTATGACACAATGGAGAGACCTAGTTTATTATCTCACGACATGATGTTTCATCGACTATGATCTGCATCCTAATGTGATTATTTCACATACAACACTAGTTTATATAGGATTGGGCGTGGGTGCGAATTTTGTTCAAATGAAGACTCAAGTTCTCATCCACACCCACATCACATTCCAACGTCCACTCATGTTCACACCTACACCAAACACTCACACCCTCAATAAGTGAATCCTTTGTGCTTGGCATATAAAGTTTTTATTACATGTGATGACTAACTAAATAATAATCACTGCAAAAAAAAGCACCAAGATACGCAAAGCTAATTATGCACTGCTTTTCATCTGGAACGCGTACAATGTCTAATTATCCACTTAGTGCTTAATTTAGAATATAGAACAACAGCGGCTCTGCTGTTGTGAACTTCCGTGAATCAACAGTGTTGTGGAGGATGATGACTTAGCTGCTATGGGGTCCCCTTCGCATCTGGTAGTTGCTACGTGAACTGTTGTGGCTGTAATATCTTACATTTGTTGATGTTGATCTGGAGACGACGTTCCAAATGTCCCCATAGATACTTTGTTTGGTTCTAAAATATGTCACACAATACTGACTCATAGAGAGTATTCGTCAATTGAGCCTTGATCGAACACAACATAAATACACGTTTTCCATACCTGAGAAATGCGTTCGCGAGGATTCTTTAATTGGGATGAGGGTGTGTGTGGGTGTGGGATGTTCTTGTCCTCTTCACCCACACCCACACCCACATATTCATCAATACTAGTTAACTGAATGATTGAATTCATAATAAAACACAGAATACGATAATACAAAGCAACAAGCCAAACAAAAATTAGAGCACAAATGCACAAAATAAATGAGACTGATGGCTTTCGTGAAAACTGATTATCTTTTGCAAACAATAAGAGCGTTCACTGGAGATCTTTTTCTTAACTTATTTTTTACTAGTATATGCAGCTAAAATTTAATGACAATCTATCTTGAGAGTGTTGGGTATGGGTGAGAGAAAGTATATGATCCATCAACACATTCAAACAACATCTACACCCACACATCCACACCCAGACCCAAGACGATGATAAGATCGTATTTTCAATGTGTGCAAGTAAATCAACATATAATTTTTCTGGATTCAATTCATTTATAAATGCTTGTTCAAATTGACGTCGTTGTTCAATATTCATTAACTAAAATAAGTAGAATAGATCTTTTTTTTTGATACAATTAATATTTGGATGTTTTCTTTGATAATACCTGCAGATAATATTCTCGACCAGCAATAAGAAATAAATGATTATCTAATTCTTCAAAGCGAGCACTGGAACGTGATAACGTCAATGAAGACCTAAAAAAGTAAAAGATATACCATATTATATATGAGAATTCATTTTGACATTTCATGGCGAAATTTATTGCTTTTGTATGGATCATTATTCCTTCGGATTGCAAAAAAGATTTTTTTTTTCATTAATGTTTTATTATTTATCGTTTTCGAAATAAATTTTAATCGTACATGTAAGTCTTGATAATTTTTAAAAAGAAAACTAGGAAGAATATTTAACCATAGGTGGAATAAAAATAGCTCATCCAACATCCGAAATACGACTTCACTTTATTTTACTCATAAGAATAAATTCAGAAAAACTCGTGCAATATTAATTCACTATTAAATCATCAATATGAAATCTCAATACAATTTATTTTTCTTGAAAGATTAATATAAAGAACTAAGAAGAAAAATCAGCAAGGATAAATGCTTTAAATAAATACTTACAATGCATCAGCAATTTTATTTGATAGACATGCACTTAACATAAGACAAATTAAGTCCCATATAGCCATACATATTGATTTTCTTTGTGCAATACTTGTGATTGATAATAAAGTCCATTCATTAATTTTAACTGAATAACGTGCATTAATTAAAGCACGAAAAAAAGCAAAAACTGTATATGCAAGTATTTGACGATATAATTGTTGTGTTAATGCAGCAAATTCTAAAACCATTTTATTCATTAAACGAGGGTGTGGGTGTTGGTAGGTGAAAAGAGAATACCAGTAAACTCACACGCACACGCATACCCACACCCTTACTCTACCCCACACCCTTCAAAGCACTACTAGATCGTTCGCTCGTCATGATCAAAGAAACTTGCAAGGGCGGCAAACAATCTAAAGAACGTTTTACCTAATAGACGATGTGAGTAGCTATGAGTACAGCGTATTAACTATGCGCTGTATACATGCAACAGTTCAGTCAATGCAAAACCTCTACACAATGAACACCTCCTTTAATGAACACTTTGTCGTAGGTCCCGTTGCTATTCATTATAGGAAGGTTTTACTGTATTTTTTCTCGATGGCTGTTTCAGAAAGCGAAGGATAAACGAAACAACAAAAAGGCCATTTTTTTATTTCTCAAACATTTAAGATAAAAGTTTTATGTTAAAAGAGATTTCTTATCTCGTTTATGTTTACTTATTGTTCTGTTCTTTGTCCTTGTCAGAGCACCTGCACAATACTCTAGAAAGTCCAAAGTATAGTTTTACAACCAGGTCAAGCACATCTCTTCTATTTACTGCTTCTCAACAATCTTGTTTTATCAGTATCATTGCCTATGCTTCTTCATCTTAATAACTCAAATGAAAGATTAAATTATACATTTGAATACAAATGTGTGAAACAATGGATGCAAATTCTCAAGAGTGGGGTATAGATGCATTTATTCCGTATTATCGCAACTCGCTTTGCAATTTACAGACAGTTAACAATGATCTATTGGCAACAATTCTTCAGAAGAATCATTCTTGTGCTTTTTTCAAAGATAGATCGATTTTATTCTTGTCAACAAATGATACTGCTGGAGAAGGAGAATATAAATCAGTCGATGAATTTCGAGAAAAAGTTCCATTGACAACATATGAAGACTATCGTGATTATGCAAATCGAATGGTTGTTGATGGAGAAAAGAATCTGCTTTGTATCGAAAATATCCTTTATTTTGCAGCTAGTACCGGAACGACGGGAAAGTTCAAGCTTATTCCTGTAACTCCACCGATGATAAGAACAGCTAATGAAACCGCACACCTAGCATCTTCTGTTATTCGGAAATCGTTTTCTTTTTCATTGTCTTCTTTTCCTGAACAACATCCTTTCACCTTGCTAGGCGGAAAAAACACAGGACTGTATCAAAGATCAAAAGATGGTATTCCAATTGGTCCTTTTAGTCAATATTTTTCGGCTAATCCAACAATTCCTCGAACTCGATCATTGTTGTCTATTAATAATACCCTAACATTGAATATTATTGAAGGAATCCATGATTTTGATACAAGTGCATATGTTCAACTCGTTTTTGCATTGGCGATTCCGGATGTTTCCTCCTATACGGTTTATTTTGCGTCAGGATTCATTCATACTATCAAATTAATCGAAAATTATTTTGAAGAAATGAGTCTTTGTATTTCTTCTGCTAATTTCGATCAAAGTTCACTCGTTCAAAAGAATATTGTGGATTCAGACTTTCGAGCAACCTTAAATCAAACATTGAACGAAGTGATTGCTCAATATGGAGGAGAGGTATATCGATTGGAACGAGCTGAACATATTCGATATGAATGTCTCAAAAAAGATGTTCCAGGACTCCTGCATCGTCTTTGGCCAAATATGATTTATGCTTCTACGACTATAGGAAGCACATTTTCAATGTACAAAGAAGTCGTTCAATATTATTGTGGAGAAAGGGTACCTCTGATTAATTTACTTGTCTACGGTGCAAGTGAAAGCTTCTTTGGATGTATTGCAAGTATTCACACTGATGAGTACTTTCTATTACCAACATCCGTATTTTTTGAATTTATCAAAGAAGAAGATATTCAACAAGTAAGTCTCCTGAAATAGCTTGTAATCAAACTGCAGATTTAGCATCCAAAAAAACAATTTACCTAGAATTCCGTTAGCTGTAAAATCAATATTGAATACTGACTGTGGTTTAGGAGTTTATTTGGTACTTAATAGTAGTTTAATTTTTCAGACCTTGGTTCTTCTGATATCGAAAAACGTTTCTTATCACCTCTGAAAGCTCTAGAAATCAGTTCTAGGATCATTTGACGGGAATTTTTATTCTCCACCATAATCTATAAGAACTTCTTGAACATTTCAATATTTTTCTAACGATATAGGCCAGATACCGCCCCGATTGAATCAGTTTGCTACAAACACTTGCTTTTTTCAGTCTTATGAAGTTATATTTTATACAGCCCACGGAAAAATTTTTTTCGAAAAACCGCTCAAAGCCGCGATTTTTTCCATTTGACCGCGGTTTTACTAGAGGAAACCGCGGTTTGGATTGGATAACCGCGGTTGATAGCGGTTTTTTTGAACTGCGGTTTTCTGAAACCGCGTTGCTCGTATTCATGATCGCGGTTCTAAATACCGCGGTATTCAACGGTCTAAAAAGTCGCGGTATGGTAATTGGAAACCGCGGTATTTCATAACACGGTATCCAACGGTTTTCAAAACCGCGGTATAGTCATCAGTAACCGAAATGATAAATACCGCAGTATTGAGTGGTTTTTTAAACTGCGGTATATTCATCGGTAACCGCGGTGGTAAGTAGGGCGGTACTGAGCGGTTTCAAAAATTGCGATATAGTCATTAGTTATTGCGGTAATAAATACCGCAGTATTCAGTGGTTTCAGAAACCGCGGTATAGTCATCAATACTCGCGGTGGTAAACATCGCGGTATTGAGTGGTATTCAAAAACGCGGTATAGTCACCAATAGCCGCGGTGGTAAATACTGCGGCATTGAACGGTTTCTAAAACGGCGGTACAGTCATCAGTAATTGCGGTGATAAACACCGCGGTATCTAGCGGTTTCTAAAACCGCTGTATAGTCATCAGTAGTCGCGGTGGTTAATAAGGGCGGTATTGAGCGATTTCAAAAACTGCGGTATAGTCATTATTTATTGCGGTAATAAATACCGAGATATTCAGCGGTTTCTAAAACCGCGGTGTAGCCATCAGTAACCGCGGTGATAATTAATACGGTATTCAATGGTTTATAAAACCGCGGTATAGTGATTAGTAACTGCGGTGGCAAATACCACAGCATTCAGCGGTTTCAGAAACCGCGGTATGCCATCGAATAATCGCGTTATTTATTGCCACGTTTTTCAGCAGAGAAACAGCGGTATTTTTGATGCTTAAACCATCGCGATGGAATGTGTAAGGACGAAGAGGATGTCGTGTCCCGCTATTTTCATGAAAGTTTTGGATCATTTTTCTTATTCTATCTCTCACTACAAAGTAACTTTGTGGTAATGGAACTTCTAAAGTTCACTACAGACCCCTTGAAGGGTCGCTTACCTGAACTTTATCATAAGTTCAGCTGAGTCTGATCATACCTGAATCAGGTATGGTCATGGAAACCGCGTTTTCTAGCGGTTCCAGGAAACCGCGAAAGTCAGACCTTTTATTCGGTTTTTTAAAACCACCAAAAACTCCGGTATTGGTACACTGCGCTCATCACCGCTTGAATAAACCGCGAAAGTCAGACCTTTAATGCGGTTTTTCCAGACCGCGGTAATCAATGGTTTTTCGAAACCGCGAAAGTCAGACCTTTTATGCGGCTTTGGATACCGGTGAAAACGGTGGTGTGAAATTACCGCGGTTCTTGGCGGTTTTCAAAAACCGCATAAAAGGTCTGACTTTCGCGGTTTCGGAAAACCGTTGATTACCGTAGTTTGTGAAACCGCGGTTTCTCGCGATTTTTGTTCAAAAATTTTTCCGTGGGAGGTGCATGAACGAGATTTTTTTTAATGAATGCGTAACTCGTTATGTTCTTTATGATGAAATTATTTTTAGTTGAACATTCGATATGTGAATGTCGACTCTGTGGTTAAAACCATGTTTTCTAGAGTTTGATATGAGTCGAAATAATTTCGTATTAGCCACTTCAAAGCAAAAGAAATATGTTCTGGATCATAATTCTTTCAATCTGATATAGAGTGTAAACTTATTTATGCATTTACATGTTTCTTTCTCTTTGAGTTGGCTAATATGGTTCTCTGTCGACTCATACCAAAATGTAGAAAACGCAATTTTCAGCCCAAAATCGATCTTTAAACATCGAATTTTAAACTGGATATAATTTCATCAAAAAATAGCACAGTGACTTACATATTTAGTAAAACAATCTCGCTCGTGCATTCATGTAAACTACAACTTCATAAGACCAAAAAAACTATTCTTTGTAGCAATATGATCTAATTGGATGGTACTTGGTCTATATCGCTAGAAAAACATTGAAATATCCCAGAAGTTGTTACAGATTCTGATAGAAAATAAAAATCTGTGTCAAATGAATTTGTGTGCCGCATCTAAGTTGAATTTTCATCTACTTTCCGATCAAAAACTGAATTTCGGAGCTGGCAAAAAAATGCTTAAGATCTTTTTTTTATTATTGAAGTGCCTTTGAAAAAATGTATCTTTCAAAACCAACATACTCAGCTCTATCGAACCCTATAGACTTCAAATACAACGACGGTAAAAATGTTTTACGGTGCCTGGGAAACTGCAGACCTCAAAATAATCAGAATTCAATTCTGATTCGAAGGCTAATGAAATTATAGATCAATTTTTTGGGATGCCAAGTTAGTAAATTGACAAATCTTCTTTGACAGTCAAGTCAAATTTTCACTAGTGACTTTTTATACATGTTTGCAAATAGTATCGATCCAGTTGAGTAATAGAGTCTGTTTTTCAACTTGAAAGCCAATTTTCTTTTGAAGAATAACAAAGAAAATTTTGGGAGCCAGTTTTATGCCTCAAATTACTACGTTTTTTTTTTGAAAAACTGCGAATGTAATAAGCTACTTTCTATGAACTTCCAACAATGTCGACTCGTTTTTCACAGTTTTTGCTTACAAACAAACTACGACAATAACTACTTCATAAAAAATATTTCGTATTCAGTTTTGTGTACGAAACAAAATAATTAGTACT